AAGGCAGCCTCAGAATCAGGAACCGTACAGACAATTACAAAGACTGCCGTGAAAAATCCAGATGTTAAGATGCCTGGTAGCTTCAGGCAAATTGGTTTCTCTTTTTTTTTCTTTCAAAAGATGTGCACCTGATTTTCACTTTAGGCTTCTAGAAAGACAAAAACAAGAAAACCCCAACCTGTGTTGTTTCATTGTAGCAGGAACAGCCATGCGAGAAAGAAGCAAATATGACAGATTAAGGATGACTAGATCTGGATTCTGGTCCCTGCTTTTCCATTAAAATAACAAGCTACCCTTCTCTTCTCTGGCCCTCAGTTTTCTCATCTGCAAAATGACTGGATAAAGAGATGGTCTGTTCTTATAATCAGATATGATCAGCAAAAAAAAACAGACTAATTTATTTTATGGAGAGAGGACAGTGAAGTGGAAAGAACATTGGCTCTGTAGTCACGGGAGCTAGGTTCAAATTCCCCACTAACCCTTAATGTGTGACCTTGATCAAGTCACTGAACCTCTGGGGCCTCCATTTCCTCATCTGTAAAATGGGGAAGTTGAATCAACAGCCTCTAAGATCCCTTCCAGTTCTAATGCTATGAGCCTGTGTCTCCTAGTTCTTTCTAAAGAGAAATTAGTGGTCTTGAGCTAAGACCACTAAGTCACTTTTAGGAAAAATACTGATAGGCTGGATTGTCCAGGGGTAGATCATCCTGATGAGAAGAAGACTGAAAACCAGAGGGTTAGGGCAGAGGTCCAGAGTGCCTTTCATTATTCAATTCCCTGGGGGAGTTTATACAAATAAGGTATGATGTTCAGGGCCAACCCATGTAGGGAAGATGCCCTATCCCAGTTCACTGAACAGAAAGTACCACTTGTCATTGGTAAGATTGAAATTCAAAACTTGGGTAGTCATCAGGGTTCCTCAGCTTCTTAGGAGGGGACATTCTTGCTGATGTCTCATAGCTGATTACAGCCTCTGGAGCCTGGACTGGAGAGATAGAAGGGTAGACTGTAGCTGGGATCTGACACCACCAGTCACTCTCAGTGGATGTTTGGAGCACATATTGTGGGCTTTGGTATTTCTCACATTGGATATTGAAGATCAAAATCACCAGATGAAGATGTATAAAGAGACAGTGCTTTTGTTACTATTTTTAGGTAAGTGAGATCTTAGGGTACTTTTTTCCCCAACTTAATCTGGAGCACTTGATGTGATGTACTGCTAGAATATTAAACTTTGCCCTGTGGTTTTATTGAAGGCCAATTACTACTTTAATGGAATGAGATGATATAAAAAGTAAATTTATGTTAATTGAACTGTCTTTTCTTTCCTTAAATCTTGGTCTTTAGGACTTTTATAATCAAAAGGCAGTCCATATTGAATCAATTAGATTTAAATAGGAATAAGACATTTATGAATATCAGTCACAGCTGAATAGTGGGTACAGACTTAGACCTCTGTTTTAAAAAACTTAATTTAATCATTTCTATTACAATAAAAAGCTTGTGTCAACAAAGATGGAAATGTAGTATAGTAGTAGAAAGTGCCTTGGATATGGAATCAGAATATTTGGTTTCAAATCCTGCCTTTTCCACTTATTACCAATATGACCTCAGGAAAGTCAATTTCTCTCTCTAAATCTCAATTAATTCATCTATAAGATGAAGGGGTGGAACTACTAACTTCTAAGCTCCTGCCCTTCCGGCTCCAGGTCATATGAAGAAAAACACTTTCATTGCCTAGAAAGGGTTGAAGGGGAAGAGTGTGTAAATGTGTGGTTTCTTTAGGTTTCCTCCCAAACTCAAGGGTTTTTTTAGATATTTAAAAATTTTCATAGCCAACGACACTTAGAAATGTCTGTCATGATGGTGTCCTCATTCTAAAATGGAAGCTCAGACTGAAATACATCATAAGACTGCATGATCTTTGAAGTCTCTTTCGGCTTAAAATCTTTGGTCCTATGATCATATGAAAACCTGACAGCAGATTCATTGTCTTACTGGCCTCTTCATAAGCAATTAAGTTATTAAGCCTTGCCTACTTTCTAAGATGAAGAATTCTCACTGGTGTATCCCTCATATTAAATATGACTTCTCTTGGAAACAAGATTTTTCACAAAATTATTATGTTGTTATTATTGTTGTTATTGCCGATTATTTTTACTATTATTATTATTATTAATCCTTACTAGCTTTAAGACCCTGGATAGTCAGTTAATCTCTCTGGGCCTCTTAGACTTATTTACTAATTTATATGTGTCTTTCGAGCTGCATTGGTAGATTTCATGTCAACAAAATTACAAATCTTTCTTATAGCTAATAATAATCATATATTGTGTTATCAACATATACACAACAATGCTTTAATACTTCAAATTCTATGTGCCCCAGTGCAGATGACAACCCCTTCATGCTTTAGAAGTCAAACAGATGCTTTGGCCAAAAAACAAATCTTTGTCACCTGGCAAGCAAGGCCTGTAGGAATAAGGCTCTCTCTCCAGACTCATTGTTGAGTCATTTCAATCTTGTCTTCATGACGCCATTTGGGGTTTTCTTGGCAAAGATACTGGAATGATTTGCCATTTCCTTCTCCAGCTTATTTTGCAGGTAAGGAACTGAGGCAAACAAAGTTAACTAATTTGCCCAGCCAGTAAGGATCTAAGGCCGGATTTGAACTCACGAAGATGAGTTTTCTTGGTTCCAAGCCCAGTGCTTTATCCACTGCACCACTTAGCTGCCTGCCCCCTCCAAACTTAAGGAGGCCAAGCCTCACATAACAAATAGTTTTACCAAGCTCAAACTCAAACTGTTTTCACTTTGGCAAGAACTACCACATTTGGCTCCAAGTAGGCACAACCTTGAAAGGACAGAGTGTTACCCACAGGCCATAATGAGACTTTTGAGTAGAATATTAACAAGGAAAAATAATAACCCAGACTTATACAGTGCTTTGAACTTTATAAAATATTTTCTTCACTGTGACCCCATAAGGTAGATAGGGCAAGTATTATCTCTATTTTACAGATGAGGAAATCGAGTCAGGAAGCTAAAGTGATTTGGACATGGTCATAACTTGTAAATATCAGAACTGGGAAGTTACTGTGGAAAAGGTAGACTATCTCTAGAATACAGAAATGTTTTATAAATGAAGAAACTGAGCCCATAAAGGTAATTTCCCCAAGGCCACAGGGAGAGATAAGATAGAGAGTCAAATCTAAAACCTGGGGACTCTAAGACTTTTTAAATCCCTCCTCACATTCAGTTCTAAACATCTATGAGTCTCCAAAGCCCGAGTCTTGTCTTCTTTCCACTAAGTCATGATAATGATACCCTTATCTAGATTAATTGAAGCTGTAGTTTGTCAAATAAAGCACTCTGGAGATGACATGGAATGAACACTGCTTCTAGGATTAAGGGACATGAATTCAAATCCTGTTTCTGACTCTTACTACCAATATAATCTTAGGCAAGTCACCTAATTCCCCTGGGACTTACTTTCCTCATCTGTAAAATGAAGGTGTCAGACTAGCAGGCCTCTGAGCTCCTTTGAAGCTCTTAATCTCTGACCCGGGAGCTACGACCTGTGAAGACAGGTCCCAACAAGACTGGAAGAGTGGAAGAGTGAAAGATAAGATAGAAAAGATTGAGAAAAGGGATGGAAAAAAAGAAAGAGGTGGGTGTCCATCAGTTGGGAAATAGCTAAAAAAAAATTATACTGGAATGTAAAGATACATTATTGACCAAGTAAGAGTTTATCACAGAGGAATTCAAAGAAACATGGGAAGACTTAGATGAACTGATTCAGAGTGAAATAAGTAGAACCAAAGAAACAATGTTGTAATGAATATAAGAAAAACAAATATATCACTAATAAAGGAATCTGAGGGAGAGAAGGGGAAAGTTATTTCCAGGAATGATTGTGATAAAAACAGGAATGATAAAAACAAAATATCATCCACTAAACATTTTTTTAAATCAGTTAAGAGTTGCCTACCTTTTGGTCTCTGGAAACTCTACTATTATCAGTGGTTTCTCAAATATTATCCACAGTAAAAAGCACCGTGGTGTAGTAGGTTTTAGCATGGTGTAGCCTGGATTTCAAATCAAAGGAACAGGATTCAAATCTTGGCTCTGCTATTTAATGCCTGTGTGAACACAAGCAAGTCACTTAAAACACTCTGGGTCTCATCTTTGTTTGTAAAATGATAGGATAAATAGACACTGTAAAGATGCCATCCAGCTCTACATCCTGTGGTTCCATAATTATATCTATATCTCCTTTCAATACTCTAAGGAATCATTTCTCTTAAAAGGTAATACAACCTAATAGATAAAGCTCTCAACCTAGAATGACAACATACTAGGTTTGACTCCTCTTTCAGGATCACCTATTAGTTATCTGACTCTGGGAAAGTCACTCTGACTATTTGAATAAGTCTCTTTGAGGTTCAGTTTTTGTATCCATAGAATGGGGATAATAAGGTGTTATAATACCTACCTCACAGGGACACTAGCTATGTGACCCTGGGCAAGTCACTTAACCCTAACTGCCAAAAAAAAAAACCCTACCTCATAGGGTTGTTATGAAGGTCAAATGAAATAATGTGGGTAAAGCATTTTGTAAACCTTAAATGCCTCCCTCCTTCTTAAAATCAGTTAGGAGACCTAAGGGAAAAGAAACAATTTTTGTTCCTTCTCCAATTATCTGTGGTCCAATGATCCATGAGTGTTTCTCATTGTTTATTCCTCCAAGATTAGTAAGCCAGGCTATTTTTCTAATTCCTGAGTCCAAGAAAACCAAATTTGCTGTGAAATTAGATTTTGACCAGAGAAATGCTGATCTGAACTCAGGATGCTTCTTAGCAGAACCCTAGGGTAAGGAAGCAAGACCTAAAGAAGGACATGGAGGGGAGCCCCAGAACTAACTTAGAGGAGTCCTGAGAGCTTGTGAACCCATTCCAGGGGCATTTGTTGGTCATCTTCCTAATCTCTGTTTTGTACAGGTTATGTTTCAACCCAAGAAGTGAGTACCCCTCACAGTAATGCAAGTAAACCCTACGAACAACCAGTAACGAAGGAAATAACAACCGTGGCAACGGCTAGCATAGCCAAAGACGAGCATTTGACCACCCAAACCCACTCTGAGATCTCAACGCAGGCACCAGGAAAAGACGGTTTGACTTCTCCTTTCTTATTGTCTCTCTTGAACCCCTGTGACCTTGGAGATATATTCACTGAATGCATGGCTCTGTGCTGAGAATGTGCAGAGGGAAGGCAAAAACAGCCTCTGCTTTTTCTAAGTTGACATTCATAGGTAGTGACGACAGGAAAGGTAACTCCTCTATCACCACTGAAAAAGAACTCTCCTGCTCAAAAACATTCTATGGCTCCCTACAGCTTCTAGGATAAAATGCAAATTCCTTAGCCTGGCCCTCCACAAATGGTGCCAATGTTTAGGTTTATTTCTGATTTATTCCAGGTTTATTTCAGATTCTACTCTTCATGTATTCTACAATCTGGCCAAATGAAAAAGCAGTATGATGTAACAGAAAGAGAATTAGAATTGGAACCAGAGAAAGTCTATGTTTGAATACATACTCTAAACAAGTCAGTGAATCTCAATTTCCTCATCTTGGAATTAAAATGAAATAATAGCATTTATACTATATATCTCACAGGAATTTTGTAGGAAAATGAGCTTATTAACCTTAATGACATATAAATGAGTGCTGTTATTACTGAACTTAGCTACTAGCTGTTCCCAATCTTGTCCTGGACTCAATCTCCTGCTTCCATGCATTTGTACTGGCCATTCTCCCATAACTCTCCTTGTCTTGGCTTGTTTAAAACTTTCTTTTCCCACAAGGCTCAGCCAGGATGCTACCAACAACATGAAGCTTTTCCTGATTCCCTGCCCAGCCCTCCCAGACAATGGCGTCCTTTCCTTTCTCAAATTTTCTTAGAATACTTTGTCTAGATCTCTCTTTTGCCCTTCTCTGACTGTATGTTAGATCCTACTTTTCTGTGGGTGTGGCAGATCCCTCCTCAGTAACTATAATTTCCCCAAGGATAGGGACTCTGCCATTTTTTATCTCGATATCCTCAGCTCTAATTACATATCCCTGCCGTGTATAGTAGCTTTACTGAATTAAATCCTATATTGCTCTTAGTTAATAAGATTGTCACCTGCCCATATCAATTCCATATATTCTTATGGGCATTTGAGTCAATAAATACTGATACTTACATCTCACCTCTGTTACTAACAACTTGTATGACCTCAGGCAGGCCACTTAAACTCTCTGGCTCTCAGTTTCCTTCTCAAAAACATGAAAGAATTAATGGAGAGGGTTTAGATACCTCTTCCAGTGGTAAATCTATGATGCTTTGGCCTTCTCTCTTAGAAACTCAACTAACTTGTAAGACTTGTTCAATTCATATTCACCAAGAAACTGGGCAAGTAAACACAATTCCGAGGCCAACTAGCATAACAGATAGAAAGCTGAGCTGTGGCACTTAATAAATATGTGACTTTGGACAAATTACTTAATTTCTAAGTACCTTAAGTGTCACACTTTAAGGATTATCTGCTAAATGATAGATTACAATCAGCGTTGGCATTGGGAGTTCCCCCACACTGATAAAATTACTGATGACTGAAAGGAAAAAATATATAAATCTAATACTACAATAGTTGTCACAGTTGATAACGTCTTCATAACTTTAAATCTTATAAAGACTTCTCTGTGTTTTATTTCTGGCAGGATCAAGAGATCGGGTAACCCACGCTCTCTCCGGACCAGGTAAGTTGACAACTTGCATGTGGACAAAAATCGCACGTAATTCTCCTTATTTGCCAATAGAGGTCCCCATTTTTCTTCTTATGAGGGTTGCTTTAAGTGGGCCACAGAGTTTGCAACATGGTTCTTCCCTTCTTAAAAATGGTGCCTTTTCTATGAGACATCAGAAAATGGCCATAAGTTACATGATAAATAAACAATCTTAACTTGATTCTTTCGCAAGTTTCGTGTGTTGGAGAATTCTAAAATGTAGACAAATCCTGGGAAGATAAGGTACCTAGTCTGCACTATCTGGCATTCTCACTGATCACATCACAAGTCCAAACCCTACTCCACGCCAAATCACTCTACCTCCATCATCTTTGGAATGGATAATAAATAATAAATGCCGAATGGGGCAAATTCCAAAGTTGATTTTTTAAGAAGTGTAGGGTCATTCTTAGAGTACTGGAAGGAAGAGAACTGGGGCTTCATTTCCAGTTCTACCATTCATTCTACTGTTTGACCTCAAGTAAGACACTTAACCTCTATGAAATGTCCTCATTTATAAAATAGTGATAATATCTGTGTTGCTATCAATGAAAGACTAAGTCACTTAGACTGTTATAAATACCCAAATTAACTACAAAGGACCTATGAAGGAAGATGCTATCTGCATGCAGAGAAAAAACTGATAAGTAGAAGTATGTATAGAATAATTTTACACATATATACATATTTGTGTATAAATGTAGCCATCTCTAGGGTAGGGGTGGGAAAAAAGAAAGTTACAAAACTTTATTATATATTTAAAAGGATTAGCAAGTTTTACATAATAGATTTGCAGTTTCATGTACAATCATCTTTTTCCCCCTATTGCACTGTTATGGAAATGCTTGTTTTCTATCTTAAGTTCAGAATCAAATAAATTTTTAAAAATCTAAAATTCAACCAAAAAAAGTGAGAAGCAGCATGGTTTAGTGGATAAAGATCTGGGCTTGGACTTAGGAGGACCTCTGACGCATAATTCACTGTGTGACCATGAACAAATCACTTAAGGACCCAATGGCCCCAAGGAACTTTAAGGATATAGGCCTTAAAGGAGTTGCCCACTGCCATGTATGGAAGGAGTCTTCACATCCGTATTTCCTTATAATAATGAATTCACAGGTGCAAATCCATAAAAAAATAAATGTGATTTATTATAAGGGAAATTTGGGTGAGAGGAGTCTGGGTATGAGTCACAGCTATGGAAATAATTGATATTGGTCATTAACTCTCTCAGGCAGGTAGTGTTTACTGATTTCATGTGTTTCTCATTGTGTGATTGGGTAAATTTTTGGAATTTATTTAAAATGTTTAATTTACTTGTAGTTTTGCAAAGAAAAATTGCTGAAATGTACCCTGGATTAAAAAAAAAGAAGTGAGAATGATCAATTTTATATTTTAGAGGAAAGTTACAAAGGAATTGATTGTTCCATTTAAACTCATATATCCATCCCTAATGACATGGAACTCATGAAACCCAAAGATTTAAAATGTTACTGTTTCCCATTGGGGATCCCTGTCATATTCATCTCTCAAGTAATCTGAAGACCAAAGAAAATACCTTTTTGTAACAGTCTGTTTTGAATTCCTGGGATGGGGTTGAGCACTAGGACTGTTTTTAGTGTCTCCTGACATTTTGTAGAAGACTAAAAACTCATAAAACAAGTGAGATCTTCTAGGTGACTAGGTCTAAGTAATATGAAGTGGAGTCCTGCGTATGATGTCCTATTCATATAACAGATATCAATTTGGAAGTCCCATTGCTCATTTATTTTATTGCATGGTCCAATTCCATTGCCTTCACAATCAGCTTTCATTGGGTAATTGGTCAATTACTCATTTCTTTTGAGGTTATACCTATATGTATGTTTTCATAGGATTGCCTCATGCCTCATATGGACATAACCTGAGTCTCTACTAAGAAGGTGAAATAGAGAGCTAAGCCTTTACCTAACAGATTTGTTCACGTGAACCTACAATCAGGAGAATAGTACAAGTTTTATTGTAAAATACTGCCTTGTTTCAACTGTTCATTTAGTTAGATGATTGCTCACTGAACAGACTGAGCAAACACTGCTTCTGTTTCTTTTTTATATCATTGGCAGTACCACACATCCTACTCTTCCCCATGCACTCTGCCATCCAGTGATGCCGGCCCCCATGCTGTTTCTCAAACACAACATTCCACCTCCCAGCCCAGCATTTTCAGTGGTCATCTCCCACACCTGCAATGCTCTCCATCATCATCTCTCCCATCTAGTTTCCCTGACTTCCTCAGCTCAAGTCCCATCTATAAGAATTTTTTGCCAGACCTCAATCTTAGTGCCCTGCCTCTGAGATTGTCCTCCATCTAGCTTCTCCTGTATGTGTTTATAGACAGACAGACAGATAGACAGATAGATAGATAGATAGATAGATAGATAGATAGATAGATAGATAGACAGATAGATAGATAGATATCTTTTTGTCATACACACACACATGTCTTATTTGTACATAGTTATAAATAGTTGTTGGCCTGTCATCTCCCGCTTTAGACAACGAGCTCCATTAAGAGCAGGGATTGGTTATTTTTTTCATTTCCTGCCCTTTTTTTGGGGGGGGGGTTGCCTCTCTTGGTACCCACAGTGCCTAACACAGAGTAGGTACTTAATAAATACAAGCTGATTGACTGACTGACATTTACCTTCATGGTTTTCAGTTTTCTGTCTCTTTCACAGAAGATGAAGATTTTTCCGCATACTTTGCCCATATATCTTTTATACTCTTTTAATGGAGAGGCAGAATAAAACAGAACAAAAAAAAGTGCTGAACTGGATTTCAAGATTTAAGTCTGCCACTTAGTAGCTACGTGACCTTGGGGAAGTTAAATAATTGACTTGGGAACTAACTTTCCACATCTGTAAAGTAAGAAGCTGTCTAACATCTCTTCATCCTCTGACATTTGATGATGAGGCAGCATGGTATACTAAATAGATTGCTGGAACTGGAATCGTAAGAGCTCTGGGTTCAAATCCTAGCCCTGTCACTCAGCCCTGTGATCATAAGCAAGAATCTTAGCATCTCCGAATCTCACTTTCCACATCATAAAATGAGTGTGATAATATTTACCACATATGATCATTAATTATAATAATAATAAATTGCATGTACCTAATGCTTTAAGATTTAGAAAGAAAGTATGAAATAGTAGTTAAAGTGTTGGGTTTGGGAGCAGAAAGGTCTAGGTTTGGATCCTATCACTGTCATTTACTCTCTGCATGACCATAACGTGGTCACTAAGCCTCTAAGATCCCTCTATGAAACTATAGTGGAATGAGTTTTCCACATGAAAAATACCCCAAACTAATGGAATCAGAGATCATTTGCCTATTTGAATTCAGGCTTGGAAAGCAATTTACCTATGGGGCAGCTAGATGGCACAGTGGATAGAGCACCGGCCCTGGAGTCAGGAAGACCTGAGTTCAAATCCAGACTCAGACACATAATACTTCCTACCTGTGTGACTCTGGGCAAGTCACTTAACCCCAATTGCCTCACTTAAAAAAAAAGGGGGGGGGAAGCAATTTCCCTAAGTCATCACATGCATTAAACTAATTTTCTTGATGTCTGTTATGTGGCTGTTTATTTCACTCCTTTGCCATTAATCGATCTCTCCTTTTCTCTAAGTGATTGCCGTGGTTGTTTTTGCTACAATCGCTGGTATTGTTGGAGTCATCCTCTTTGCATCATTCTTGGTTCGCCGGCTGACAAGGGTAAAACTGGAACTTTTAAACTTATATAAAATAACAGAACAAAATTTATATAAAATGTGTTTTTCTCCCCTATTTAAATGTCTAGGTGAGCTGAAGTAGCTCATAGAGACAGACTAGCATGCTATAGTAGATTAGGGCTTAGGAATACCTAGGTTTGAATTCTACCTACAGCACTTACTAGCTGTGAGATCCTAGCAAAGTCACTAGACCTCTTCGACCTTCAGTTTTCTCAACTGAAAAAATTAGGCAGTCAGAATTGATGGCCTGAGAGGTCCCCTCCAGTCTTCAATCTATGATTCAATGAAAACAAAAATACTGTTCTTTCCTGAAGCACCCCTTTCCAAATTTTCTTTCTTTTCAATTATTTTGGTATTCTAAATTTCAGAAATTAAATTAAGATTTTGAAAGATACTGGCAGAATCTTAGATTTCAAGCTAGAAGGCCCTTTAAAGTCAGTTAGTCCAACCCTTTTTTTATAGATAAGAAAACTGAGGTCTATACAGCAAAAATGAGTTACTCAAGGTCACACAAGCAAGAATAGTACTCAAACCTAAGTCTCCCGAATCCTAATCCAGTGTTCTACCCCTCATGCTGCTATGTCTATCCACAGAGAACATTTGTTCAAACCTTAGTGTCTAGGGCTTTACTTTCAGAGAATCCATGAACTTTGCTAGCTCAGACTCCTTTCATAATGAGTGTAAAATTAATAGCAATTAATTCAATTAATTTCTATTAATTATTAATTAATGGCAAATTAATAGTTTAATAGCAATTATCCTCCCTTCTAGAGAGCTTTGAGATCTAAAAAGTGCTTTCCTCATGACAACACTATGAAAATATTATTTTCCCCAGAATATGAGCCCCTTTAAGATAAACCTAGTGCTAGATATTAAGAGAATTCTCCAGAATCTCACAATTCCCAGTAAAGGACTAGGTCAACAGAAGTGAGAGCAGAGTTTCTATGTATTTGGAAGTTCTCTTATTTAAAATAATAATAATAATAAATTACCTCTCTCCCTGAGAAGTAATTCTGGCACTTCCTTTTCCAATTCAGAAAAAGGAAAAGATTTCAAGAGGTCTTTGGGAATGGGTGTGAGCTGAGGGGGAGAAGAGCGGCAACATTTCATCCATTCCAACACCAAGTGCCCCTTGAACAGCAACGTGCCAACAAAAATTCTATGGCACCATTGCTCTAACAAAGGCAATCCAGCAGTCATCACCACTAGGGACATTTGTTGAGTGGGGAAGAACTTCATAAAAAGAAGCCTACAAATTTAATGGCAACTGATCAAGAGGAGGAAAAATCTATACCCCAAGACTCATTTCACTTTTTTTCCCATTTTCTTCCTTGGGGCTTCCAAAGAGTCATAGCATTAATATTTTTCTGTTTTTATTTGCAGAAAAATTAGTTCAGCCTGACAAACAAGGACACGGGCATTCCATAAAGAAAAAGAAGATTGAGCATAGTCCCCTTTGTTTACCTCGTGCTCTTCTGAAAGGACAATAAATAAGTGTATGGCTTGACATCCAGTTGATTTTTGATGACCAGGAATGTCCTGTTTAAGCTCAGAAGCATCTAATCTTGGTGGCAGACATCAGAAGTGAGATACTGCTTGTGCAAAATGTCCTTCATCTCCATCTCTGTCCAGTGCTTTTAAGATTGGTTGACTTTAGGGATAGTGAGATCTAGGACTTGAAAGAAAACACCACCACAACAAGCATAGAGTCTGAGAGGCATTCAGCCAAAGCATCCTATCAGATCTGTACAATTTGAGGTGGTGCTGGCTGATATCTTACTGTCACCCTCTCCCTCTCTCCATTTCCTCTTCCTTCTGTGGCTCTTCCACAAGGTCTTCTACCACATCTGGGGCCATCTCCAGTCATCCTGTTGTGTTATGTGGCCACTGGACCTCGATGGCTCCAGAGGAGAAAGTGAGGCTGGTGACTTTGCACAGCTCTCCCTCATTTAAATCTGGTTCACTTGCGTGTCATGGCATCATCTCCATGATATCATGGTCCTCTTTGAAAACGAAAGACAGACAACAAACAGCCATTGTGTATTACACATACAAATTTATCTGCCTCCAAGAAGTACATAAGCCCCTTCTTCTACCAGACACAGATTGCTATGAAAATCAGACCCAAAGAGAGGGAGCATAAAGAAGGGGAAGTATGTCCAAAGTTGCTAACTGCATTGTTTTCATTCATCTCACAGCTTGATTCTTATTTGTGGCTTTTATTATTGTTCAGTCATTTTTCCAACTCTTCATGACCTCATTTGGGATTTTCTTGGCAGAGATACAGGAGTGGTTTGCCATTTCCTTCTCCAGCTCATTTTACAGATGAGGAAACTGAGGCAAACAGGGTTAAGTGACTTGTCCAGAGTCACCGAGCTAGTAAGTGTCCGAGGCCAGATTTGAACTCAGGAAGATGAGTCTCCCTGTCTCCAGGCCCAACACTCTATCTGCCATGCCACCTAGCTGGCTTTTTGATTCTCATTAGGCATTTTCAGATTTGTCTTGGTTTTGTGGACTGGTGCTTATCTCAGTGGATACAATATCAGGCATATGGATTCTACTCTAGATCTAGATATCTAAATAAAAATCTAGATCTAAATACTCCCTTAGTCTTAGTTTTCCCACCAATTAGTCAAGTACCAGGTGTCCAGTTCAGAGTGATTTATAGTCTATTAAAACATAAATGAAGATGAAGTCTTTTAGGGGACCCATCCATGATGCAAGGCTGAGTAATTAGATCAAATAACTAGGAATTCAATTCTTGGGGACTGTTCTGTAGGAGTTGAGGTATACTGGGGGTTTGCTATTCTTTTCACAATTACACCAGGCTCTTTCAAAACAACCATGCCTCATTCTATTGTTTGTGTGTGTGTGTGTGTGTGTGTGTGTGTGTGTTTGTTTTGTTTTTATCTTCCCTCCCCAACTCTGCTACAGAAAAGCACCATATAAAAACATCCTCCCAAAACAACTTGAAAAGATCTTGAAAAGAAGACTGCTTGAATGATTCTGTGAAAGAGTGAGAAGCATTGCTTTGTCATGATAATAGAAAGCATCTCCCTGAACTGGAGACAATATCAGGAGGCACATTTTATCTGGAGGTTCCTGTTCTAGGACTCAGTGATGGATAGATAAACAGCTCTGATGAGCCAGCTTTTTTGATATTGTGATAAGTTCAGTTTTATTCATATTCCTGCTTTGGCTTTGTGTTTGCTTAATTGTAGGAGTTAATAGTTTAGGAAGTGGCCTGTGATCTCCCATCCCTGCTCCCTTGGAGGGGTCTTCTTTGGGTCTGATGACCAATTTAGAACACATTTTATAAAATAAGGAGCAAGTCTCTAGGGAATCCAGTGCCAGGCTCCTGAGATTTGTTTAAATCTTCAACTGCCCTATATCTATTAACCTTCTTACCTCAGGGAACAAAGGTGCTAGCCTGGCTATATGTGGAGATGTTTCACATGCCAATGTAAATTCTGCTCACAAAGACAATTAGCCCAGAAGGTGTGGCATCATGGTACCTGTATCCACCACCAACCACAGCGGAAGGGAGAGGTCATGTGGTGCAAAAGAAAAAAAATGAATCAGGAGTAGAGGACCTCAGTTCTCATCCCAGCTATTTGATCTTGGATGAGCCATTTAAAACACATGGACCTCAGTTTGTTGTCTCTAAAATTCAAATTATTTTATTTAATAATTTTTAACCCAGACCTATAATTTCACTTGATGTAGGAAAGTTCCATTGAAGAACTTCCTCTCCTAGCTCTGCTCTGGAATTTAGTCTTTGAGGAGTGTCCAGGGCTTGGCCTGGCCAAGGTTACACAGCAGGTATATGTTCAGAGTGGAACGTAACTCGAAAGACCTAGTTCTATCCAGTACCTCAAGCTGCCTTATCACATCTACTAAGTATCAGTCATGTGCAAAGTTCTATACTCAGGATGCAAAAACAAAAGCAAAACCATCTCCCCCCCCCATTCCTCAGGGAGCTTATGTTTTAGTGAGGGATGGGGAGCAGGGAACTGACCTAAATGCTCTAAGACCTCTCCTGATTCTAAATCTTATAAGTGACCATTGTAAAGAAATTGTAAAGAAATGACTTGCTCACTTGGATCATGACATGAACTCTTCTAGGACACTAACACCCTATGGTATAAAATCATTTCTATAAATGGTGCCACAGAATCCCAAAAGAAAAAAGTAAACTGTCCTGGCCAGCACAAAAACATTTACTCCCCATGCCCACATAAGGTAGAGCAGACTAATCCAGGTTCCAGGGAGATGTGCCAGACACAAACATTGAGAACTATTATATGTCACTGTGTGACCCTAGATAAGTCATTTTCCTTGGTTTATTGTTCATTCACTGCAGTCATGTCCAACTCTTTGTGACCGTGTTTGGGATTCTCTTGGCAAAGACACTGGAATGGTTTGCCATTTCCTTCTCTAGTTCATTTTATAGATGAGGAAACTGAGACAAACAAGATTAAGTGATTTCCACAAGGTCGCACAGTTAATAAAAGTCTGAGGCCATATTTGAACTCAGGAAGATGAGTCTTCCTGACTCCAGGAATCTAGTAGTGTTTGAGTTTAATGTTTTTAGTACTATTCAGGTATAATATATACTATTATATGCTAGTGGTAAATAAATTAATGTACTATATACATAGAATGTTCTAGATAATGGATATTATATTATTGAGCATAGTTATAATGTATTTAGTACTATATGAATATAATGTATCTAGCACTATATGAATATAATGTATCTAGCACTATATGAATGTAATGTATCTAGTACTATATGAATGTAATGTATCTAGCACTATATGAATGTAATGTATCTAGTACTATATGAATATAATGTACCTAGTACCATACAGGCGCTCTATACACTGTGCCATCTGGCTGCCTCCATTTTCCCTGGAGGAGCCTCAATTTGTCTGTGTCTAAATAAAGAAGAGATTGGTTTATACGATCTTACAGGGAGAGAGGCTGTACAGATAGAAGAAACTTTAACAATTGTATAGTTAGTCCATTCCTCTCATTTTACAGATGAGAAAACTGAGACACAGTACCCTGCCCATAGCAGCCAATCGATAAATGTTTGTTGAATGAATTCATGAATGGCTTAGCCAAGGTCATAACTGAGAGAGCAGGGATTTGAATCAAGGCCTTTTGGTACCAATTCCATTGCTATGACTAGGAAACTGACACTATCATATATTGATGTTGGAAAAGGAAGAAGAGGAAAAGAGTGGTAGCTTTTTGGTATTTACATCCTGTTGCTGGCAACTCTCTCAAAACTGCTGCTTTTCCTGTTGCTATTTGAAAATCAAGTGAAAAATCACAAATTAGGGGAAGTAAGGTGAAATTAACATCTCTGCCTTCCTCTTGTTGGTTATTAATAAAGGGTTTTTTTCTTTTGTATCTACTTTTTAAAATGAAATAACACATAACAGAAAAGTAGCTCATTTCTGTAAGAATATGCAACAAAGGTGCACCTATATTGTGAGATTCAGTTAGTCTCATGAGTAGTCCAATAGCCACATTCATCTTCATTTAACTTTTGGGCATTAAAAAAGTAATGTTTTTAAAACAGTACCTCCTTGGGGCAGCTAGGTGGCACAGTGGATAGAGCACCGGCCCTGAAGTCAGGAGGACCTGAGTTCAAATTCAGCCTCAGACCAAATACTTAACACTTACTAGCTGTGTGACCCTGGGCAAGTCACTTAATCCCAATTGCCTAAAAATATAAAAAAGTAAAATGGCACCCCCAAATAAGTAAATACCAGAGAAGCATATTTACTACTGTTCATATAGCACTTTAAGGTTTACAAAGAGCTCCCCACACATTTGAGCCTCACGATAATGGTGGAAAGTGGGTAATGCAGGTACTGTGATCTCTCCATTTTACACAAGGAAATGGAGGGACAGTGAGGCTAAGCGATTTTCTTACAGTCACGCAGCTAGCAAGCTCCAGAGGCAGAATTCTAAAGTAGCTCCTCTGACTCCGGGTGCACTGTTCTTTCCACTACACCATGCTGGACAGAGCCAAAGGAAATGTATGAGGAGGGAGAGATCACATTAGCTAGGGGGCAGAAGAAGAAAAAAAAAAGACAAAGGGCACCTGATCTAGGCTTTGAAAGAAGAAAAGGATTTCAACAGGCATGGAAGGATGATGGCCTCCAAAAACCCTTGGAGTCAAGGGAGAACACAAGGAGACTGGGGATTCTCCCAGTTTCTATTTCCTCACTTTCTCATATTTAAAGACTCAACTGTTGATCCACATATGGCTTGTCATTATTTACAGATAAATCTATGGCAATTACTGTTTCTAAGTATGAATTTAACATTATAAGTTCAGAACTTTTTTCAAGTGTTGGGCACATGCTAATTCTTAATAAATAAATACCATGTTGTTAGATATGTTTTGGCATGCTTCATATGTTATGTATAGCTATTTTTAAGATAATAAAGTCTATTTTAAGATGGGATCCCAAGTTGGAAAATTCT